TAGGGACATCCTAAAACCGGCCCGCAGGGCAGTCCTTATATATAATATCAGTTCGGAAGGTATGGTTTGTAGGATATTGTACAGTACTTTTATTTTTATGGACATAGGAATGCTTTTTTTAGTTAAAAGTTCGTAATGTGAGTGACTAATCTTTTGTACCCAAATGAATTTGCCTTACCAGCTGTAAGCGGCCCTTAGGGTCGCTAGTCCTATGGAATACATAATAATAATAATTTTTTGGAGAAAAGCAATAAAATTCAAGCTTGGATTTTTTTTGGAAGTAACCACTACCTAATTATTGTCCTCGATGAGCTCTATACTATAATGCGCTTATCTGTAAGAAAAACTTCTGTTTTTGCTCCAAACAAAGACCTAAAGGAAATTTTCGCGTTCGAAGAATTAATGTCCGCGACATTGCGACGCGGCCATTTTCGGATTTTTTTGGAAGAAGATTTTTAAAATTTTTAGAATACATATTTTCCAGAAAGCGCATTTTGCGGATTGTAGCTCTTGAAGAGCTCTATCACATTTTGCAAACCAATCATTTTTTCGCTTTTGTTTTCCATCGAAAATGAGCGATGAAGAAAGGAAGGCGGCATCCGCAACTTTTTGGCGGTCACTGTATATGGAGCGCGAAATGCTGGAAGTACAAGCTCTCTTCTGCAGAAGGATTTCTCTGTTTGGCTACGGTAAATATACGGTAGGAGTTGATTATATCAATACGAGTGATTAAAGAATGGTCCGAGAATGTGCAGGCAGCGGGCAGGCATAAGGTGGTGCTTTACTGTGGGTGGTCGCCTACTCCTGACTTCAAGGCTATAAATGAGCGCTAACGTATTTCGCGTTTCTCGTTTGTTTCTGGCTCTGTCGGCTGTTGAATTGTACCGATGTGCTAGAGACAGAGCATTTTGGTAGAGTAGATTGCATTTTTCGTCTTTAAGGCTTTGAAGAAGGCGAAGACGCCGAAATAGTTTAATATATCTGTGTTTAAATCTTTGCGTCAGCTATAACATCTACCAAAGATTATAAAATATATCGCGAGTAAATACTTAACAGATGAAGAGTTGGAACGTTGAAACCGCACCACGTTCACTGTTTGACTGCTTTAGTGAAAAGAGTTTTGCATGTGGGCAAGCTGCAACACTTATTCGGGACAAAGGAAGTAAGCAGGGCCCGGCGGGGGTGGCGCTTTCACAAGCTGGATATCGTTTTTGTCCCGATGCTAGCCTGCCCGCAGGCGGGAATTCAAATCCCAATTCTTGTAAGAGGAAAATAACAAAATAGGCTCGTTTTCAATGCACAAGTAACGATATGACACCAAATTTGCTATGTGGTTGGAGGACCATGAGCACAAAAAAGTATGAAGAATTATGAGAAACTTATGTGAATTTAAAAAATGGTAAGTGTTTTTCGAAGTTAGGTGGCTCCCGCGCCACCTGGGAGCCACCTGGGGTGGCTCCCTGCTTCCCTTCCCATTTCCCGGATTTCTTTACATAAATGTGGACTAGATCGAGAGTATTACTATATGTTCAAATCCGCTTCCAAAACCACCAAGGCACTGCTTCGATACAGCCCCAAATAGGGTTCACAGCGTTATGATCGGCCTCGGAAAGCGCGCTCCAATCGCAGTCGGTTATTGTAAATTGTAAAGTTTCGCAGCTGACTAATAAATGAGTAGTATCTTAGATATATACGTCAAAGTTTGTGCAAATCCTGACCCTATGTTTTTTATAGTTTCCTTTGCGGATGAACCCATTGAGCTGAAACCTTGGTGACCCGGGCTGGACCAGGAAAGCCAGGTAGTACTATATAATAAGCGCTGAGGCCGCCCATCTTATTATTTGTGTATATCTGTTTGTCAGGGACTTACGGGGGTCAAAAATAGGGTCAAAGGGGAAGTCGTAAGAAATCTTGGCTTCAAAGGGGATATTGGATACAAAGGGGACTTTTTCAAAATTCTGAAATGCCACCTCCTGCCGGGCCCTGGAAGTAAGCGGTTTCGCAAAGAAGTCAGTTCGATTTGTTGGAGATCGTTACTGTAAGCGTAAACACCAAGATTAAGTTCACATATTTGGAAGCAGCCACATAGCTCGCACGTTTTTGAAGCCTCAAGTTTGTCGAAGGATGCCCTGGAAAGAGCGCAGCTTGCATTAATAGCCTACGAGTTGCAAGTGACAAAGACCGGTCTCAAACATGGCCGAAGCTCATGAGGTAGAACAACGCGGCGTGCAACCCGAGCTCTCTCGAGTGTCGCTTTCGCTAGTGCTTCGCGCAACTGAACCGTTCGTCCGAAACCAAACATGCATTGTTTTTATTTCCCAAAGTTTTTTAGGAAATTAAAATAGTTTTCAAAGTTTTTCTAAATGTTTTGAAGAAAAAGTCATGTCTAAGCAGGGTATCATGATGCGTGCTCTCTAGCGAAATTAGCGCGTATGTAGCATCGGTACAGAGAAAGTTGCAAGGAAAGCCACATATTACATTCATCACTGCATAGCTTGACTAGAAAAGCAAAGTGGTAATTTAAACATATCTCACATTTGTAGAAGTGATGTTGATATTCTATGCAAATCGGAAAAGTATTGGCCCGTAGTAAACCCCCCCCCCCCCATCCGGGCATCTCTCTCGACGCGGACCGGAGTTGAGGTCATCGCGCTTCAGTCCAGCATCCAGTGAGCTATTGATTTGGATGTGGATCGCTTCCTAGACATGATAACCACATGTGTTCTCAAAAAACCAACCACTTGAGCTGGTCTGGTCAAACGGATAAGCGATTGGAATCACACGCGCGCGGTCGTGGTTCGACACCGGCTAGCGCAACAACTTTTGCTGCATCGCCGGACAATCTTTGATAGCGGCCACTGTCGAAAAAAATCGATGATGACCACTAACAAGGATATCACTTAGCAAATGGACAGATAAAACAAAACTGACATATTTTGAATTCATGAAAAACTGAAATTTTTGGAACATAAATAAAACGTAATAAATAAGTAGATTCTCTGTTAAAGTAGTTTTTACAAGAAACTAAGATTGCTCTGCAAAGAAAAAGAAGAAAACTTTTATCCTTGCTTTTGTCGCCAAAATCAGCTGTTCATCGATCCTTCCCTTTTCGGGCGCCGGTATTGTGCAGTTTTGCGCCGATTTTTTCTGCATTTTTTGGCAAAGTTGTGTGTATCGTAAGTTACTCAGGAGCAACTTATGTTAGATGCAGTCACCTCTTGTCTGCGTCTCCTCTTCTACACACTATTTGGATCACTCTAACATCCGTTCACGTTGAGGTGGCTTGAACGTGAACTGATGTGGAAGAGTTGACTGCGGCAGGTGGACAGATGGTCAACTATCAGTTGACTTGACCATCTTATAGCATGGGAACGTGGACGGTGATCAGTTCACCTCACCTAAGGTGAACTGATGGGATAAGTTGAGTTCACCTCAACTGATCGAGCTTTACTACGGGCCATTCTGTTCTAGCTGAACCTTGTTTGAGAAGCAGAAAATTTCAGTTCTCGTAATGGGGACGCACTTCAGCAAAAAACTTCTTTTTATCGCTGTATCTTAAAGGGAAAAAGTCCTGAAAAGAAAATACCATAAGATATCTTTCACAAAATTGTTGTAGATCACAGATCCGCTCCAGTCCATGATATTCGGCTAGGATAAACGGCAAAGGCATGGAGAAGGCTGGAAGAGTTGCCAAAAGTTGTCGCAATGGCGTTTATCGGTATGAGCGACGATTTGGGCAATTTAATAGCAATCAATAACTAAAAATCATGCAGAATTTCGTGAAAATATTTTGGGATTAGGTCATGAGGAACTGAAATGTCCAATCACCGTAGAGATTGAGGAATGCAAGCAATTTTACATTCAAGAATCAGTTAGGCTGTCCAGAGTTTTTCGTGCCAGCGCCGTTCCAGCGCCATACTTGCTGTCCAGGCAGAGATTGATCGATCAACATGCATTGCGTTGGCAGCAGAATGCCGGAATGCCCAAAGCTTATACCAAAGCAAATCGCAATCTTACAAATCCCCTTTGTGACATTTCAGCAGCGCAGCGCGAGCTTTTCACTCTGCGGCTTATCCGTGCGGTCGACGTCTCGAAGATACGTTCTTTTATACAGCTATCAAATGTTTTTTGACGCACAGGATCTTGATCTGCCACTAGCAAAAAAAAATCTCTTCACAGAAAATGTCTCGTCTACTTGCTTGCAAGGATGTGGACGTAGGACCGAATGCCGCTAATAAATTTTATTTGGAGTTTACTTGCAATGCTCTTCAAAAGTGTTCTTTGCTTGTCATTGTTTTTTCAAGCTGATTGGCCGCTGGCGTAAGCAACATCCAAACAGAAACAAAACTTACAGTTGAATTTCCAAGTTTTGAGATGGTAGTCACGTTCACTTGCTAAATTTGCAAAGTTCTTTCGAACATTTCATACTGTTAGCGAAGTCTCACATAAAAATTTGTTTTTGAACCCAAGTAGATAGAGGACCAACGTGGCGAACCGTCACCTGAAGCGATTTCCGAAGCAATTTTCTCGCTTCGGAAGCAACTTTAGGCAGCGCAAGTTGGACAATCATACAGTTGGGGGCCCCGCAGCTGCTAGATATTATAATCTCGCCAACCCCAATTTGGTGGAAATGCTCGTTACGGAACGCTTATCTCAAATCTCTCTCTGTATGAAATCTGCGAAGAAATCAAAGAACTTATAAAGGCATTTCTCAAAATGCGAGGATTGGGTTGTGTAAGGTACTTAAAAGTGTTGCCCTAAGTTACGACTGGTGTAGTGGTAAGTGGGCTAGCCCTCCAGGCAAGATCCTACGCTGCTGGAGCCATACATTTTACTTTCTCTAAGCTAATTTTGTGCTCTTACCAAACTTAGCCAGTAACAAACCTTGAAAGATTTTCTGTTACATATTCCTTCTCCTCTTGATGAATACTTCTCGTTTACTTTATAACGGAAAATACATCTGGTTTCAAAGAAATTTATTGCAGAAATGTTATTGAGACCTAATGCAAAGCCTTTTTCTTGCACACATAAGATCTCTCATTGTAGGAGCATTTCGTATCGCCCCACTTCTGATAATGTAGAGTCCTCGCGTCGTCTTCAAAAGGATCTGCGTAGAGCTGAAAGTGAATACGAATGAGATATTAAGATTGAAAGACATGAACCGAAATAAAAAAAGATAAAATAACATGAATTAAAAAAGGCAGAGTTTTGACCTCCGGATTTTTCGGTTCTAGGCTCATTCCTTGCTCTCCGAGAAGGCAGCCGAAAAGCGTGTATGCGATAATGGCTTTTTTTGGATACTGTATGTACTCTCTCAGTCGGGGTGGCGGGTGGTGGGCGGCGCTCTGGGCTCTTCATCATTCTCGCAGCCGAGTCATTCTAATCATTTCTCAGGCTTAAAGGCACCGTCCACCCTAAGTTGAGGGTGTAGAGCTTTTGACAGCTTATAATAGTAGGACCTCCTATCAATCCAAAGCCCAAGTCGCGGCGCAAAATGCCGCTTCGGAAGCGAGAAAATCGCTTCGGAATAGCAAAGATGCACGAGGACCCCCATCCATGCCCGCCCTCCCCCATCCATGCCCGCCCATTTGTGCGCGCCCATCCAATCACCGCTCCGGAAAGCCGGCCTGTGGGTTCTCAAGAACGGGATTGTCGAGGTTTTCGCGCATTTTCGACTTCATATTCGGATTCACGGACATGAGAAGGCCCTGAAACGATAAAAAGGTGGAAGTCTAAAATCTGGGTGGACGGTGCCTTCAATTAGCAATTCAAGCTCTGCCCTCTACCCGCCACTTCCAGTTAAACAGAGGTCAATGCTGAATGCGGACGAGTGTACACTCACGCTATGAATATAAAGCCGGGACGTCAAGATTTTCATAATCGTTGCACAACTTCATGCCTATACTGCTTTGTAAAAAAACATAGAAGAACGCGATAGAAGAGCTTCCATGTAAGAATTGGACATTGGACTCGGGCGCATGCATTTAAATCTCGAGGAAAGCGGTGCTCAAAGCTGCATATGCTGATGCTCTAAAGTCAGGATCACATGCTGCTTACAAGGGAACCGTGTCGAGTCGAAGTGGCCTTTCCAGATGAGACCCATACTGCTTTGAAGAGTATTAATCGCTGATTCCAAATCTGCCAAGCGCCTCTGGACGGCGAGTTATGACCGTTCTTCGGAACGAAAAATAATGCAGAATTTAGGTAAAATTGATAGTTACAATCTTTTCAGCGCTCAGATAAAGCAATGTTAAGTATTAGCATATTAAATAAAATGTATCTATTGCATAAACAGCTCTGATACTTGACACTGGACCATTTGAGCAGATTTGGGCGATTTTGCTTCAGTTTTGTGTTCAATTTTTTGACCTGAAAAACGAGCATAACTCGGCGTCCAGAGGCGCTTGGCAGATTTGGAAAGCCGATTTGAAATCATCGATTAATGCTTTTCAAAGCAGTATGGGTCTCATTTGGAAAGGCCACTTCAACTCGACACGGCTCCTTTGTTAGTTGCTTACCATATCTATCCTCGAGCAAATTTATCTGTATCGTGAACATGTTGAACAAAAGTGTGCTGTATTATCCGCACTCCAACTTTCTGTTTGAGTCTACTGTGATACTCAGTGGATGACCGTCTTTCTTTAGAGCCATTCATCTTTTCAAATAATCAATGAAAACTTCAAAAGTGCAGCGATATTCAAATTACAATGCGATTCCTAAATTCTTGGATCCGATGCGTCGCATAGCGGTATATTTTGTCGATTTGTCGTTGGTTGCGTAAGATGAAACTGAATGAATCGTATAATTTGTAGCATATTTTCCTTTTCTCACATTATACACATGAGAGTAAATTCTCGCAGTTCATTAGAAGATGTTTTTAGGTGCCACTAAACACTTAAACGCTTGCGTATACTGGTAAAGAAGCGAACTTACGTGTGCGTGAATAACGAAGAAAGGTCATCTGTCTAATCTTAAAAAGAAACATTTATGGAGTATCGCGGATTTATCGGTGATTGGTCTCGTTTTGCATGAACATCCTCCAAGTATTGAACTTCAATAAAAAGCAACAAATTTTAGAGTACCAAAAAGATTTTGGTTTTTGGTAGTCGCCGTAATGTCTTCAATCGTTGCAGTTAGCATGAATCAAAGATGAAGTCAGACACCTGCGGCCATAGAGGCTCTGCTTACATGGATGCTTTCTTTCTTTGAATTAATTATTTCAAGAAGCATTACATATGAAACTCGAAGTTATATATAAAGCTGAATGTCTGTTTGTATGTATGTATGTATGTCTGTCTGTATGTCTGTACGTATGTTCCGAATAGAAAATTCCATTTCTGAACCGATCCGGACCAAACTTGGCACACATACACTACGGGCCCGGCGGGTGTCATAGGCTACTTTTCGTCATCGATCGATATCGATTTTATCGATTTTTATCGATTTTTTTGCTGAGTTCACCTACGGGGCTGGGAGTTGGCACAGGGGGGTAATCGAGCATGGGGATTCCGAATACAATATTGGTTTTCAGAATTATCGATTACTTTTATCGATTTTATCGATTTCTTTGCAAAGTTTGAGCTACGGGGCTGGGAGTTCGCACAGGGGGGTAATCGAGCATGGGGATTCCAAATACAATATTGGTTTTCGAGATTATCGATTACTTTTATCGATATCGATTTTTTTGCAAAGTTTGAGCTAGGGGGCTGGGAGTTGGCACAGGGGGGTAATCGAGCATGCTGATCATCCCCAAAGGGGGTGATCAGCACGCTCGATTACACCCCTGTGCCAAATTCCAGCCCCTAGCTCAAATTTTCAAAAAATCGATAAACTCGATAAAAGTAATGGACGATCTTGAAAACTAATATTGTATTCGTAATCTGCATGCTCGATTACCCCTGTGCAAACTCCCAGCCCCGCAGGTCAAACTTTACAAAAAAATCGATAAAATCGATAAAAGTAATGGACGATCCTGAAAACTAATATTGTGTTCGTAATCAGCATGCTCGATTACCCCCCTGTGCAAAATCCCAGCCTCGCATGTCAAAATTTACAAAAAATCGATAAAATCAATAAAAGTAATCGATAATTCTGAAAACTAATATTGTATTCGGAATCCCCATGCTCACTTCCCCCCTGTGCCAACTCCTAGCCCTGGAGGTGAACTCTGCAAAAAAATCGATAAAAATCGGTAAAATCGACATCGATCGATAACGAAAAGTGGACTGTGACACCCGCCGGGGCCCGAAGTGTATGTGTGCCAAGTTTGGTCCGGATACGGCGGAGCCGGGTAAGCCAGCTAGTATATCAATATGGAAATGATACCATTGTGCAACGTCCTTGTCCTTGATAGTTAGTTGGTTCACCTGGAGCCCATGCTAGAAAGTCAACCTCCGTGCCGTCGGTCCAGGTCCAGTTAGACGTCGTCGATTTCGAAAAGTTCATATAGTCAGATCGTACCAAGCCTATCCAAGTTGCGCTGAAGGTGGTGGTGAGCCTTATACCCGACTCCGCCATCTCTAAACGCAAAAACAGTATTCTATCTGTATAAATAAAGCTGAACGTCTATCTGTTTGTCGGTCTGTATGTATGTCTGTACGTCTGTTCCGAATAGAAAAATCCATTTTTGAAACGATCCGGACCCAACTTGGCACACATACAATTCGGGGGGGGGGGGGCACCGTAGGCTATTTTTCGCCATTAATCGATTTCGATTTTCTGCAAAGTTTCACCTACGAGGCTGGAAGTTGCCACGGGGGGGGGGGGAGGGGGAAGGGAGTAAGCGACTAATTACAAGATATCTTCCTAAGGCCCCGGACAGAGTTCACGCGATTTGGTCGTCGCGATTCATTCGACGAGATTTCCATTCATTTTCATTCACATTCAAAAATTTCAGGCTGGAAAAGTATCACAACCGAAATACAAGCTGGTCGGCATGCAATGAACTCGTATCAGTTGTCTTGTCGCGACTGAATCGCGACAATCAAATCGCGTGAACTCTGTCCGAGGCCTAAAACAAAATGAGTTCACCAATTACGATAGAGTTTTCTCTTTCGCTGTGGATTGAAGCTAAATGTCCTCCAAAAGCGACACATTTCCTCTCGGCATCGCCAAAGGTCTCCCGAAGAAAATTCTGAAATATTATTCAATGGATTCGCTCCATACTGTAAATTAAGTTGAAGCCTGCTCTACAAAAGGGTACCTGAAGGAAAGCAAAAGAGTCCTAGGGAAGAGAGATATTAAATCAAACAGTGTACAATCGATGTCAACCAAGTGCTCCCTTCCGTAGCACCTACGCGTCCGCACCGCAAGGGCCTAGCGCTGCGACCCCAACTGATGAGGCGAATTTTGAATGCGCAAGCTATACGCGCGCGACTTTAGGGCTGCGACTTGACTGGTGGAAAAGGGTTGGCACATGGTTGACACGGACTGTATACATACTTTTGGGACACCCTATATAATGGAAGTGTAATCTGAAAAGGGAATGACGACATGTGGATGAACAAGATGGTCGGAAAACCCTCGAAAATATTCGGATGAACTCAAATTAGACCTACAATGCTTTCTAGGTGGTTTGCTTGAGCTTGCGCACTTTTGTATAGAAATTACCATGATTTTGCGACTCAAAATGCAGGAAAATTTGGCATTAGAAATGCTTACACCTTATTTCAGAATAGCATCGCAGATATAAAAGGTATATCTGAGATCAGCGTTTTAAGCTCTATCCGTTGATACAGATAACCTTTCGACGCCACTTCGACTATGCAAAATTCCCTTGTTAAAGGAAACTTATCTTCCATAGCACTAAATGGATGTTTGTACCAGGTGTACTACCGAAATTTGAATTGATCACAAAAATGACTGCGACATCGTTGAGACGCTGTTTTTCAGGAACCATAAGGACGTTTTCAGGTTTGGTGCAATGATACATCAAGCGGGCTAGGCAAATTTGTATGCTATCTCGGCTCAGGGTTGCCAGCATTTATTCTGACATGAGACTAGGAGACTCGAGACTTTGCGCATGTTGTCACTGTTTCGAAATCGTTCCTTCCTGATTTCAAATGGTAATTTATCCATGTAGAGATCAATAACATTTGATTGTTAGGCAGACGTGTACATAGCGTCTTCTATCCCGTCTTCTATCGCAGTGATTCGGTAGATTTTTGATAGCGTGGTACTTACGAGAATCAAACTTTTTCGATCCTTTAGAACCCTGTATGGGTTCCGTTTCGCATCAAAAACGGGGTACCACGGTGCGCCGCCTTCGAAGACTAATTTTAGAGGTTCAAGGGTAAAGTTGGCGGGGCAAACTTAGGCTATTGGTACACAGGAACCCCAGATTTCCGTTTCATTAAGTTGTAAAGAAAGTTCCGGGGTCTTAAAAACTTCATTTTCAAACGCATTTTTCTGGCGCTCGGTTGGACTTTGATACCAGGTGTTGTACAGTGTTCAGTAGAGCGAAGCGTGAACTTTCCAATATCGCTTCTGATTTCTAAATGCCAAGACTTTGACCTGCACATCAAAAAAGGAAATCATTCCAACCAGAAAAATTTGGCAATTTTTTCCTCTGCGCCCATTTTTCTGTGCAGTTCAAAGAAATTCGTCCAAATCATAAGTGATCTGATTGAGGAACCTGTTAACTTGTGACCCGCACCTGCACTCGAGTTTTGCGATTTGTGCTCAGAATCTACAAGCTGTCCAGCTTCTTTCTGACTGCAACTCTTTTCGCAGCTGACGTGCAGGGATCGCCGCGCCTGGGTGATGGATCCAAAAAATGTGTAAGACATTACCTCAACAATGTTTGCAGTAATCAAAGATTTGGTCCGCCCTGTGTAGAACGAGAAGACCTCAAATTAACTTACGCGAAAAATGGTGCATTCTGGGGGGCAAAAAACGGTCGATTTTTCAAACATTCTAGAATAAAATTTTTTGCAGGTTGCCCCTTGAAGATACTAATAGTCCTCGAAACAGCACCAGAAGATTTCTACATAACTACAGCATGGTCTTCAGCTGTTATCCTGCTTGAGATAATTTGCGCAAATAGGCCACTTTTCGCATCAACCTTTCTCCCTTCTGCGCGTACTAGTGGACCGTTATGAGGTGCTGAAAAGCCAGCACGATGCACAAAATTCTCTTTGCAATGAAATTTGTAGCTCTGAAAAAGGATTAATCTGCAGGAAGTTACAGCGATTTGAAAAAAAATTGCAATGCCCCGGAACTTTCTTTACAAACTAATATTTTACACAAAAACTCGAATCAACGAGAACTGCCTTAGTTTGTAGAAATGATGGAACTTAATAAATGAGACAAAGGTGCTATCTGGATGCGTTGAGTTTGGGATGAGTAACAGTCAATGGTTCAATGGTTACAAATTACGATACATATAATTTTCTATTAAAGAAATTCATCACACCTTATAACAAGCGTCCGTTTCGCTGTAGTAAGCCCATCCGTCGTCGCAACGTCCGACATCTGAAAAGTGATGAACAACCAGATAGTCGGAAATGGCTTCAGTCAGCGGCAGGAATTTATATGTCACTTACAGCTGGTATACGGTAACTCATGGCCAGCTGGTAAACGGTAACTCATGGCAAGACCATGATTAGTTTTCAGCTTTCATATGATAGACACTTATCCGCATAATTGATTAGTTGAAGTCAGCGGCTCGACAGAATGACAGGATTGGGTAAATTAATCGTTTTCGGTTCCCCTGGATGAGCTAAGTCCAAGACTGTGCTTTGCAGCTTCAAAAGATATCAATAACTAGCTTTTCCAGAGGTGAAAAGTGCTATTTGGGCGGACGGCGTAGGCCCCGTCTGGAGCCCGATTGGCTCGAATGCTCTCTAGAGTGCAGGAAACGCCGTCCGTCCGAATAGCACTTTTCACGTCTGGAAAAGCGGACTGATGTCTTTTGAACCACGAAGCACAGTCTTGGACTAAAAGACTGCTGCATGACGAAGGCGCAGAAGCGGTACTAATCGAGCGGGCGCGAACGCGGCGCGCGCGTATCCCCACCGTTGTAAATACTGCGCCTCATCACCCTGCGGCTGATAAAGCCGCGATCGCGCCCAAAGATATTGCGCCTTCGTCATGCAGCAGCCTTTAGCTCATACAGGAGAACCGAGAACGATGAATACCTCAAAGTTGTCTTTCTGCCGAGCCGCTGCCTTCAAGCTGAAACAGACAGCTAAATATTAGTATGTATTAGGTGTGCAAAAATAACTCTTGCAAAGTTCCATTTTAACTAGCTATAAGCTTGTCCAATTTTCATATTTTTAAATGCAGCCATGACCATCAGAACCACTAAAACTTTCTTAATTAAGTGCGCACTTGTTCACATCGATACCGCAGACGGAAAGAAGACCATGCATTAAAAACTCAAAAATTTTTCTTTGAAAACCTCGTTTTTAAGAGATTACAACTCCCTATGGGTATTATTGTTATGATTGCTAATCAGTTTGCTTCATAGCCACAAACCAATAGTATATGGGCGTTAAAAAGGGTTCCAATGAAGGAGTTCTGCAAGAAAAAAACGAAAGTCAGCCTATCTGTGGTCTGGAAGTCCCAGTTTATGAATTATCTGCAATTATTCAAGCGCTGAACAGCTGAGTTTTTTAGTGCAGAAGTTGCGACAAAATTTTCTAATCTCATGCTTACAAAAGTTAGGGAAGCTTTGGTGATTGCCGTGATGTATTCCCGGCCCTTAATGAAGGGGCCGTGCCGCTCCCCTTGCCGCAGGGATATAAGTGCATACGAGTCTTAGATTCTCAAATTCAACTTGAAAGTCGCGCCTCTGGTTTTGCAAAAAATAGATATTTCACTAACCTGCTTTTTGAGCCAGATAAGAAATACTGTGAGGTTGGTCCAATCTGTAAGTTTAGCATTATTGAATAAGTTTTGCTATTTCAAACAAACCTGGTGTTTGGATATGGGAAGGCTTCTGCCAACGTGATTAGCGCGAGAAGCAGGAACTTCATTGAAAGCTTCCTGGATTATTGCGTCCACTGAAATATAATGCACTAGGCTAAAGAGAGTGAACTAAGAAAATCACACTTGCAAATACATTGGGTGGCGATATATAACGGAAAGTATTGTAGTAGTACCAGCTGACATTTAATGCACACACATGGACGTTGTGTCCGGCACAGATCGTATGGAAACCAGCTGGACTTCGTTTTTGAAGCGAAAAGGCAGAGGAGGTTTCGTTTTCGCGGCCTAATAGACGCGAAAATTGCAACATTTTTTTAGTCGATGTTTCATGTTTTGAAGGGTTTTTTTACAGATATTGTTGGGGTCAAAGGGGACTTAAATTTTGGCAAAAGTCAAGGGGGATTCGTTTTCAAAACCTGGAAACGGACTTATGCCGGACCCTGCCAGAAAATTAGCCACCGAAAGGCAGCATTAAGGGAAGCGGGTGCTCTTAGAGGTTGTTTAGGTTTTTCGCACACTCCGGGGTTTTTATTAAAAGTAAAACACTTCTTTTTTCTGAAGTTTTTCTGCAAAAGATATCACGACTTTTTGTATGCCCATTTTAACTGCTTATCGAATGTGATAGATAAGGTTGTTTAGAAGGTTCTGTCTATAAAAGTGGACTTTGTTCTACCTACATTTTCGTGAAAATGACTGCTGGTCAACGGTATTTTTGTCGTGCCATACTGGCAATCGTAGTCGAAGAATTAGGCATATCATGGAAGCTGTTCCTCCAAGAGTGCGCTGGAGTTACCATATGGTTTTAACCCACGTTTTGGGCACAGAAATCAAAGAAGTTTCTTTCTTACAAAGGACCGAAGTCAGTAGTGCTCGGATGTTGCTACTGACCAGTACGAAACATGTACGCATATACCACAGTTTCAAAAACTTCTGCAAATTCTTCCGGTTTTCTGCTCAAAAAATATCTCTCCGTGGTCATCATAGCAGTTGTCTGGCTTACACCAAATATTTGAAGCTGATTAGCGTAAATACAAGCCGGAACTATGGTTCATCAAAACACATTTCAAACCAGCTCTTTCCGTTCGCATTCAGTTCGAATACTTTGAAAAATTCTGTGGTGCATATTTTACACTTTAAAGCTTCCGTACCAGAGTAACACTTCAACTCGCTTTTGCAAGTTCCATTGTCAAAAAAAGCGAATCTAGTGCCAACCGTTATGAACGATCGGAGGTCTATACTCACGCCAATGGTTCTAAATCTGTCTTCATATTTCTCCTTAAATGGCACAGTATTCTTTCTGTCATCAAATTCTTATGACCAAAAAATGACACTATCTCCTTCATACAAAGCCCCACCAGTATCAGATTCGCCTATATATACCATGGATTTCTTGCCAGCATTTTTTTGCCAATACGAAGAAGTCACGCAACTCTTATATTCCTTCAGCAAATCCACGGCCAATCCCATTTATTTTCTCCGGCATTTCTCAAAAAAGCGCAAGTTATCTTTCATGTTCACAAATCACAATATTGCGTTTGAAAATTCTGTGCCAGCTCAACAAAATCATGCTGCAACCCCAAGTTCAAAGCTCATTAGGAGTGCATCATTACTTTATACAACTACTAAGACTAGGGCTCGGCAAGAAGGGCTCGACTTTTTTTGCAGAATCCCCGTTGACGCAAGAAAATTACGACATTTCCTATGACACGCTTATGAATAAGTCAAACATAAGTAACGAAAAAAAAAGAGCATGGCACAAAACAGACGAAAAAGAGCTCAAAATGTCTGTATTCTCCGGATTGGCGGCATGCTGTGTTTGACGCGCACCATCGCGCGCTTGGAGCAGGATTGCCTCCGCCATACAAATTGTTTGGAGGGCTAAGACTGGGCTGAGAGGATTTGATTTGAGGAGTGAAAGGTAATAGATAAGGTGTTTTTGGAAAATCGAATTCAAGTGAAAAGCGCGGGGAAAATTTTTGAAGAGGCGGAAAATTATGACTTTGTTTTTTCTGAGCTACCTTGAGTGACTCGAAAGCCACGTAATCCGAAAAAAGTTTGCCACGCCTCAACTTCACATAACACTTGCACAATTCTCCAAACATAGTTCCTAATCCCCATTACGCATCTCCACACCAAATTTGGTACCATGTCATTCCCTCGTTGTTATAAGCAAACTTTTTTGAATTCAGGGCACTTTTTTGAATTCCGCGTTTGCGCGGAGAGCATATTGGAGCAGGAAATTGTTGTTGGTGCAGACGCTATGGCAATGAGCACTTGCGACGTCGGAATAAAATGTGAATGACTCATGTAAAATAGAGAGGGATATTTTGTTTGTAAGGGGTGCAAGAATTTGTTGTAGCGACGAGCGCGAAGTTGCCAATTCCAAATTTCTTTGCTCGGTCAATTTTACACAGAAATCTTATATTGAAATATCGTACCGTGACCAGCAAGTTTTCAAAACATTTCACTACTTCCGAGACTTCGATTTCGCGTGAAGCGACTGGTAATTTTTTCATATACACCTCACTATGCTGATAAGAACCTATGCGTTTTTTCTTCGCGAAAGCTGGGAGCATACCTACGTGAGCAACCCATGTGAAAATAGCGATGGGATACGTTTAGTTAGTGAGCGAGGGGGGGGGGTGCAAAAATTTGTTGGGTTGATGGGAGTGAAGTTGGTAAACTCAAGTTTTGTACTAGGTTGAATTTATACAAAAATCCATTTCCAAATTGCGCAATCGGAGGGCTTTTTGGAATCTTTTCATGAGTCCCGCGACAGATTTTCCATAAAGCGGCGGTTTTGTACACCATACTAAGTTGTTTCCAGAGCTCTGCCCCGAATCCACAAATAATAAGCTCTATGCTCTTTTTACCCCCAGAACTATATCCAGCCCTCTCCGTAAGCCACGTACCGAACCCTAACTGAAACAGTGGCGAAAATGTTATCTCATTTAAGACACCATTTATGGGAGGTTATCCATTTTTCAACACTGAAAAACTACCTGTGATTAATATCTCTTGATTGCTATAAAGAGGAGAGGATGTGTATTTAACTAAACCAAAGGGCAATATAAGTGCAACTGCCCCGCGCAGTGCAATACGATACGCGCGGGATAGTTTCCTCCCACAAACTGCCTATTCAGGATTATGCTGCGTTTTCCTCTTATTCTTTCATTGATAAATAAGAGCTACGACTGTTACTCGTGGGCATGTTATACAGGGTGTACCAAAAGTAAGTACACAATTTTCAATTTTCAATATCTCTCTTCCCAATGGGTCTTTTCTAGAGGAGGCTTCAACTTACTGTTAGATTTACAGTATCGATCAAATCAGCGGTCGCTCTTCGTTACTGTAGGATTACGGTAAGAACTTCCAGCATGTGGAAACCACTGTGAAATATGCCATCTGGCAAAATTTTTTTCAAAAAATCTGAAAAATCGTGTACTGGGGTTTTCGCGCACGCTGATTCCAGTACACAACTTTTTACCAGTGTTTTAGCTTTTTCGACGGTGTAATCACATTTTTGACAAATACTCGGAATTCGATTATTACGGTCTACTTGGGATAGCTTTGGAAAAAGGCATCAAAGTAACGCGAAATTTTCATATTCGAAATCAGCGGCTTCCATTACCATAGTATAAGATTTTTGGCTTGTTCAGTTTTGTTCCGAGGCAGAAGATGGCTTCCAATAGCCTAAAATCTTTGCCGAAGTTCCTACAGTAATCCTACAGTAATGAAGAGCGATCGGGGTTTCGATCAATACTGTAAATCTAAGTTGAAGCCTCCTCTACAGAATGTTACTCGAATGGCGGGAAGAGACACCATGGGAAGAGAGATATTGACGATTGAAAAGTGTGTACTTACTTTTGGGACACCCTGTATTTTCTTCACAATTTATGAGTGGTGTTGTATGTTGTCGATAATAATAGAATAATTATCGACCATTATTTTACATTGTATATTATTCTTGTCGTTGACAAATCATCCTAGCGTGGAACACTTAAGCCGCCAAGGTCACCCCCCATTGCTGCTTGATAGCTTGGCGGCTATTACTTTCATGTAAGCATCAATAATTTTCGAGTGGTACCTGTATGATACTATTGTTTGCCAGAAGGAAGCATCTAGGTTGCCACGCCCAAAATAGTGGCATAAATAGACCTGGATGCTCACTTCTGGACTCGTCTCGCCAAATCTATATTCCACTGGAACTGTTTCCCGAATAAACAATTCCTTCAACGTAGTGGCATCCAATATTGGTTAACACCAAATTGGTGCATTCGGCCTACGGATCACTTTCTGGCGTTTGCTACCCAGGAAGCTGATAAAGTCCCGCGTGGCAGGATCATATACCACTAATTAATCGAAAACCTCTTGCGCGCTCTGTTCGTCAGAGACCAGAGGCTAGTAAAGACGTTAGTTGGTGATCATTTACCACTGAATATTGAACCCCACTTGCGCGCTCTTTTCGTAATAGACCAGTGGGTAGTAAAGAAAACTGCCGGTATTAACCATTGTATATTGAACCCTACTTGCGCGCTCTTTTCGTAAGAGACCAGTGGGTAGTAAAGAAAACAGTCGGTACTTTAGCTATTTGACAAATTGAAAACCCTCTTTGCGCGCTCTTTTCGTAAGAGACCAGAGGGCCGTAAAGGCGTCAATCAACAGTAGCTGACCACAGAATTTTCTGAAAACTTTCCTAGCGCGTCCTTTTCGTAAGGAACCAGGAAGTGGGAAGGAATTTTTTTGTGAAAACACCCAAATTCTAGTGAAACTCTCTTGCGCGTCCTTTTCGTAAGGAACCAGAGAGCAGAACAGTTTTTGCGGTCAGAAGTCTCATAGTTCATTCAAGAACTGTTGAACTTCAAGGATTTCTCAATCCTATATTGGGCAAGGTCCAACCTACCAGTCAGCACAGCGTTCAAGCTAACGGCACGCTTGCTAAGTAACTAGAAAAAGCTACGCACTCCACTGCTAAGCTCACTAGTGACTAGTTTTCTTGCACCCAGCAAGGAAAAATCCCACAAAGGTCCAGGCCCAGCCAAACTCGCAGCTGGCTCCACAGTTCTCGACAGCTGCGAGTACT